AGCATGGAGCTTGAAGGATTTTTTTGGTGTCGCTGTCAGAGTTGCATGGGCCAGGGTTGGACAGGGCGAAGAGCTTTTGTGAGCCGGTATGTTTCTGGACGTTCCTTCACATGTTCAAATGCAAGCAAAGCTGATGCCTGATTGAGTGGGTATGCCTTCAACTCCATCTTGTCCCAGGTTCGGACTTCTCAACTGCATCGCTCAAAATTGGACGGAGCATGCAGGCACGCGCAACAAAGGTGGAGGGAGATGTTTGAACAAAGCAAGCCATGCAAAGCAGCAGCCGGAAGGTCCAGACACGCAGATGACTGCGATGACCTCTTCGTTCGAGAAACGGCCGTCACATGACTTGCAAACGGTGGAGGCATCTGGGCAACATGCTGCGATATGCTGTGATGCTTGAACTTGATGCCTGGCTTTGGGGCCTCTTTTTAAGTTGAGCTCGGGGTAGAGGACCTAAGTCAGATGATGTACCTGCATCATCCTGCACGTTCTTGCTGAGCAAAGCGGAGAGTGCCAGCTTTCCAGGAGCCTACTCCAAGCAGCGGCACGCCGTATGTCAGGACCTTAGAGAAGTGAGGCTGCGCCTGTTGCTCCGAAATGAACTCAACCACTTCACAGGGTTACGAACAAAACGGCCTTTTCATTGTTTCTTGTTGTGCCTCCAACGGGCGGCCAGTACTCATGTTTGTTTTCTGGGTTCTCTGCATGTTGGAAGACAAGTGAGTTTGTACGGAGTAAGCTTCTTGAGACACGCGCAAGTCCGGTCACATCCCCGAAATTCTTGCTGACGCCATGGGGCCTGGGGATTGTTGTGCACCTTCGGCATTGTTCTTTGTAGGGATTTCTTTTCTAGATTTGCAACTGGGCTTGCGCGGCTGATCTTATGGAATCTCAATTACCACTGCCCCTTACCGTAGCCAATGGGAAGACTCTTGCAACGTCCCGAACAGCTGGCAGCTGGGCTGAGGTGCATTCAGTGCCAAGCATGTCTGAGCGCAGCAGTGTGCCGAACCTTGGATGCTTAGTTATCATCATTGAAGTCCCACTTGTGACTTAAGATGGAGATATCGGTGTGCCAAAGTTCTGTTTCATACTTAGTAACTTGTTGCCTGTGTTGAGGACTCGGAGTTTTCGACGCAATGGATGCTTCTGATTTTGACACCTCTCTTGAGACATCCCTTCTCATGCGAGTTTTTCAATTTTGTGAATCAAAGCGCGCTCCGCGTACTTCTATTGTGGCAACGACCAAAAAGCCTCAATTGCAGTCCATCAACGTTGACCCCAATCCCTGACTGGACCCTGGCGGTGTCACTGCATACGAGCTATAGTCAAAACTCTGTTAGAGCGGGTTAGGGTTATATAGGGGAATATTATAGGGAATATAAGGAGGGATGATAGGAGCTTAGACTATAGTGTTGAGTTCATATCGGAGCCAAGGAGCCGCCCCGCACCCCTGCACGAAGACACACCGAAGGCCCTGCACTGCAGTGCTCCATGCTTGCCACGGGTTCACCAGATCGGATTATGGTGCCAATACTCGAGAAAGGGATTTTACGAGAGGCTTTTGCTAAGGTCCAGGGTGGTTTGCTTTGGCGCTGCAAGATTTTGTGCGGCCGGCCGGTCAAGATGCTCTTTCAGCACTTGGATCCTGCAGGCCTAAGCTGTTGACCTAGGCTAAGATCAAGATCCCCACGGGCAGGATAAACCTAAATCACGTGGCGGATGCAGAGAAAGGTGATATTGCCATAGTTTGCTCGTGCGGGTTTGCGCAACAGCTACAATCGTGCGGCATGCAACGAAGCACCCGAAAGAGATCGAACCTAAGCTGCTGGCAGTTGCTTTGACAGGTGGAAGCTCTCATCGCCTGCGAAGGCGCCTCTTTGATGTCTTCGCTTACATAAGCTGCTCTGCCCAACACGCCTCTTACGTCTTACGTGCCGCACTTCACTGCAAATCGTTTAACCATGGAGCAGGCACAATAAGAGAGGGAACACGTGTCACATGATAGCAGCTTCCAGCTTCGAGACGCTGCATGGGGCCCTTGGCTGCAACTACAGGCTCTATGTACTGCACAATGCACCGCCGCAAGGAACATGTTGCAACTATTCTAGCTGGGAGCCTTGATGTACATATGCCGAGGCAGTAGACAAACGAACCAACGATATTGGCCTTCCGATACTCAACATAGTTCCCCCTTCCTTGACGCGGCGCAGAGGCTCTGATGATTCTGCTGTCGCCTGCTGCAACAGCCCCAACGAGGTTGGCACGTGTTCCAAGGCTGTTCACTTGTAGGGTTTGGGTTAAGGTCCCAAGTCAATTTCTTCGGTTTCTGCTGGACGCCGGACGCATGCTGAGGCAGGTCGCCACTGTTTCCTGCTTACCTACAGGTGCCGCCGCTTCCAAGACTTCTGGGCAATCTGCACAATGTCGAGAAGCCTCCGAAAGAGTCCACCTGGTGCCAGGCCAGTCACAGCTTCTTTTCGCAGCAAGCCGCAGTTCCGCTCCCCCTGCAGGAAGTGAACCAACAAGCCCACCTCTTCCTTCCAGGACCGGGCTTCAAAGCTGCCTGTCAGCCTTCTGGTCAGAAAATGATCTTCTTACCACAGCGACCAGACCCCGTGTGGTTCAGGCGCAAGGGCCGGCTCGGAGACATTGGGCATCACAGACTTCGAAGCCAAGCCTGAGGAAGCAGCAGCTTGGAGAGCATATACTAGATCCAGACCAGTGATGTCCTGGACTGTACATGTGGAGCGTGCAGGGGGAAGCTTTAGAAATCTCTAAGCTTTACCTAGCCATGCGGGCCCAAGATCCTCAAGTCACAGCGCTACAGCGGTACAGTTCAGGGCTCAAGGCTAGAGCTGGACGTGTGATGACATGTGTTATGTAGGAATGATGGAAAAGAAAGTGGAGGCGATTAAATGTAATCCAGGCATCATCTATAGGCAGAGATTCTATAGTTGTTGGGAGTCCAAGCTACACATCATGAGCATTTGTCTAATTTCCTGGCAGCTCTTCACGACTGTTCAAAACCATGAGAACAAGAGCTTTTCACAACTCTCGTTTTTGCAAGTACCAGCCGCACACTGCTTTACTGAGACTTTTGGACACTCTCCTTGCAGTCTCCTCCCTGAATATCCCGAGGGTCTGCCAGCTTTGTATGCCTCTTTTCTGAAAGGCAGTCTTAGATGGCTTTCTGCTATTTGTGGTTCGCAACCATCATGGGTTCACGGTGCAATTTAGTGGATTGACCGTCGTCTTCGGAGCCCCAGCTAGAAATCATCTTACGGGTATTATAACCCCTATGTAGTCCCTGTACAATATATTCCTTCATGCCCCTTATGCCCTGCTAAGAACCAGTAAGTCATGAGCATTTGTCTGACTTGGTCCCTGGAAGGTCTAATCTAAACAACAGGTACTCAGTTGACAGCTGGCACCCTTGGATACTCTCCTTGTAGTTGTAATCCCGGTACATCCCTGCAGTCCGCAAGGGTGCCCCGAGTCTTGCGTGGCTTCTGGTTGTTGTTTCTAGTTCCCCAGGCGGAGCTCCTTGGTCCAGAAGGCTTCAGCAGAGCAGCTCAGCTGGCAAGGAGGATCCAAAGTAAACTTGGACAAGGGGTTGTCAGCAACTTAGTGTAGTCAAGGTGCCTCCTTAGGCTCTTTTGTAGGCTTTGCCGATTCGGGGATGGCAGCTTCGGCAAATCAAGCATGGCGGCAGAACTTCACAACTGGTCTCCGCATAGATTGCCGCGTGCATGCATGTACATCAGCGCAGCGCGATGCTAATTGAAAAAATGAGTTGCCATCATTGCCCGATCACGAATTAGGCGTGGGTGGGGCACCTGAATTGTTTGCCATTTTGAACATCTCGTTGCGCCCAGGTGAAGCGGCTCCAGTGGCTGCAGCCATGTCCTCAATGCGTCTTGCCGGCTTCTGTATATGCCTGAAGGATGCGTCGGCTGAGGAAGCGCGGCCGCAGGTACACCAAGGAGGCCCAGGCCAAGAAGCACCTGAACGTATTCCACACCCTCCGCAGCCTGGCTTGACGGTGATGGGGCAAGGCAGCGCCAATCAGCGCCACTTTTCCCTGAGTGGCATTGACCACTGAGGCTGGCGCCCATACTGGCTCCGGAATTACCCGATTGCTGAAGATCACCCGCTGCTGGTTCAGCAGGCCGTGAGGATCTGGGCTCACCAGCCACTTCCAGCCACGGACGCTTGGAGAATCTTCAGTTGCAGATGTTTCAGTATGTTTCAGTATCTTTCAACGTCACCGTCACAAGGGCCCCCGAAAGAGGGTCCCTGTAAATTGGGGAGACCAAAAACCCTCAAGTGCAATCAAGAGCATGTGAGGTTGTACAGCTGAATTCTGGAGTTGTAACTTCCGAGCCCGAGCTTTTGAGTCATTATCGAGAGCATGACCGCGCAAGCCGGCAATGGAAAGGCACAAAGCGCTTTCCCCAGACCTTTGCGCTGTGATGACGCAACATCTCCCGCAGCCCGCCCAGAAGTGCTACGTGCAGAAATTCTACACAGAGCTCTTGCACAATGAAGCCGCCGAAGATGTCCGCAGTTGTGACCCAGCAGGCCCTCCGTTGTCGCGTCGAAGATGGGGCAAAGCTCGACAGATGCCCGCAACACTGCCGGGCACGAAGTACGTTCTGAAGGTCGCCGTCATCCGGTGCTGCGTCAGAGCTGCGCAGATTGCTGACAAAAATGCGCATGCCATTAGAGTGAGGGTGAGGGAGCCGCAGAGTAGTTGCAAGGTGTAGAGCCATGGGAGTACCTGCAGAATCTGAGGTTGATCAGCTGTCGGACAGGGACGGACAGGGCTTCATGACACTTCATGTTTTACGGGCGTTCCTTTTCAGACGTGTTTGATCTTTAAGCTAGTGCGAAACTCATTGCGCCCCCTTTCCGCCGCAGAGCCCTTAGGCTCGAGACATTTTTGGTGCCAAAGGCACATACAGCCATCCAGATTCTCCCTTTGTATTTAGCAGGATGGCATCCAAAAAGTGCGCCGTTGGCACGGCCGTAGGCAGGAAGCCCAGGGCATGCTTGTGCGGGTGCATGTCCTGCTTAGCTGACCTTGTCATTAGTGCAGTTAACAATATTTCTGTCATTGCTATTGTTATTTACATGTATTTACCGCTCTTAATATTGTTGTTAGTACTGCAGTTCTTAGGGTTTAGGGCTTCAGGTTTTGGATCGAAGTTTTGAGATTGGGAATGTTGAAGGCTTGCAGTTTAGGAGGTGGCGATTAGGGTTGTGGGATTTACGGGGTAAGTTTGGGGTCCTGGGGAACTTGGGGGGGTATCAAGTTGTGTCAATCGATGTCAATTTTGGTTGTACAAGTTTTTCATAGCATTTCTTATCCAGACGTTTTTTTTTTTCGTCAGTCGCCTGCAGGAAAGGGGTTCGCAAACGCGAGCGTCAAATACGCCAGGTACACCCTGAGCCACCCTAAACCCTAAACCCTAAAACCCTAAACCCTAAACTCCAAGCCTTAGCCATGCCAAACCAGATTAAAACGAAATCCCTATAAGCGCTGTTAACCCGAAATCATCAACTCCCAAACCCTAAACCCTGGACCCTGAAACCCCCAGACCAACATGAGCACATTAGATTGACCCCCACTCCTAAACCCTGATTTATCCCCACACCCTAACACATCGGCGCAGGCTCCCTAAATCCGAAGCCCCAGAGACCCAGCAAGAGCAGACGCAGCTAAAAGCCCTGCCCAATCAAAGGTTACATTCGGCCCAAGAAGACTAACTCTCACAGCTTTATGGGCTATCAAACAAAACTTGCAACCCAACATAATCCCGTCTTATTCCTAGAGTTTCCATTTTCTCGTCCATTATCCCTATAGAACCCCTATATAAACCCAATATATACCCTATTCCTAAACCCAAACCCTAAACCCTAAACCCTATTGTACAAGTCCGAGGGGTTGTAAAAAAAACCTATTGTACTATAGTACCAGTAGTTTCCATTGCCTCCCGAGCTGGCCTTGAAGCCTTCCGAGGCCTGGCCGGCGTTGTGGCGGGAAGCGCCTTCATCGTAGGAGCTGGTAGCCAGCCAAAAGGCGCCTTTTCTGGGCTAGGTTTTGGGGGGATTAGGGTTTTAGGGCTCCTGAGAAGGAATTGGATTTTGGGTTTAGATCTGAAATCACTTTTTGGGTTTAGGGTCCTGGAGTTAGTCCGGCAACGCCAACAGTACAACTGTAAATGCTGACCTTCTGACCACCACCACTACTGCTGCCTCCGTCGCTACCTCCGCCACCCCCACTGCACTGCCACCGCTACCGGCACCTCTTGCGCTTTGCGGTTGATGATGTTGGGTGGTATGGCGGAAGCGACAGCTGCCCAACAATTTTGAAGAATTAAGACCCTTAGCGCACATTTTGGGAATGCTACTGAAAGCCATGAGGAGAAACAGCAGACCTTCAATCCCAGGACCCACAAACTACCCTAAACCCTGAACCCTGAACCCTAACCTACCCTACGAGGCGCACTTCGCGCCACTGCAAAGGCCCAGCATCAGGCAGGCGGTGGCAAACGCGGGCTAAACCCTACCCTAAACCCTACCGTAAGGGACATTATAGGGATATAGGGGGTATATGGGGGTTATAAAAGGGATAATGGCAAAGAAAATGGAAACTACTATATAAAACCTAAACCCCAAAACCGTACCATTCCCACAGCCCCTTTTTGTAAGGTGGAGTGGTCTTCATTCTATCCTTTCGGGGTTCCACCTTACTTTAAAGGTATGCGGTGCGGGTTTAGGGTTTGGGGCGTAGAGTTTAGGCCCCAAGGCAGGTTAAGGGTGAGTCGAGGGAAGTTCGGAAATCTCGTGGGCTGTAGGGGCAAATGTACGGGATTGTACGGGTTAGGGGAAGGAAATGCAAAGACGGAAATGAGACAGGCGATAGGCATCCACACAGCACATGATCCCTTTCTACACTTTAACAGGCCACACTAAGCCCAAACCCTAGACCCTGAACCCCAAACGTGCTAAGCCGTAAGGCCCGGCCTGCTCCCTCCAGCGCACCTCTGACTGCCGCTTCTCTGGTCGCGACCTCCGCGGCTGCAGTCTGCGCCGCTACTCGACACAAGCTTTGGAGGTTATGGGGCAACTGTACCCAGAAGTACTGGGATCCTTTAAATGGATGATATAGTCCTCCAGGGAGTCTGTGTAGGGGCCTACGAAATTCGCATAGGGGGATTTGGGTGTATACTATACGCACGTATATAGGGATTAGGAGAGATTAGTACTCAGGCTTCTACATCATATCAAAAGCGGCGGCAGGGAGCACGGGTGGGTTAAGAGGTTTCCGGATATATGCTCTACGGACTAAATTTGTGTTGGGGAGGGCCTCTAGGGGACTATATAGGATTTGGGGGGACCTATTAAGGATTATTAAGGGATATACTACAAATTTAGTCCAGGGCTGATATGCTCCTGTTGGGGATGTTATTGAGATGACCTCGGGGATTTTTCGAAATCATGGGTGCAGCCTCCCTAGGATTTCACGATGAGAAGCCGCATGTGGGTTATGATGGGGTTATATTAGGGCTACTTTGGCCTATATTAGGGCTACTTTGGGGTTATATTGGGTTATATTAGGGTTACACTGGGGTTAGATTGGTGGGTATACTAGGGCTACATCGGCGTTATATTGGGGTGTTTCTGGATTTGGGTAGGGCAGCGCAACACAGGATCTAGTTGAGAAAATTGCCAGCTACAATCATTACAGCGGGCACCCGCATGATTTTTATCACGGCTGCAGGGCAAGTAGAGGCATGTCCCACAACATTGATCCCTTAAGTTTGGTTCATCCTGAAAATTTCGGCCTTTCCGACAATTCGGATGTAGGGGCTATGGGTTCAGAAGTGTTCCGAAGAATTGGGCCTGAAGATGTAGGAAGGGGTCCTCCAAATCGGGGATATCCTCTTTGAAGGCGCTTTCCATGAGGGCTATGGCGTCTACAACATTCTTGAGACTTCTACGCGGTTTAGAGTTAACACCAATATAATCCCAATATAACCTTAATATAACCTTACCATAGCCCCTATAGAATCGTAATATAACCCCAATGTGAGGTTTAGGGTTCAACTTCTGGGATCCTCATGTCATGGGGTGTCCTTGTAGAGGAATCCCTCGCGTCAGGACTTTTCAAGAGATCTCCTCTCATGCAACTGTAATATGGACGTCCTGGTGAGATAGTTGGAGAGATAGTCATGGAATGATGAAGGGATTGGACAAGGACTTCTTCTGTCCAGTAGGGCTACATGCAGAGGCTTTGGGGTAGTTAAGTGTTTTAACTCTGGGATAATGAGAACAGCGTATGGGCTCTATGTAAATTCAGAAGGTCTTATTCGTGGATAATCCCCAAACCCTGACCTTAAGCCTTAAGCTCCAATATCCCGTGATAATCCCAAAATGTGAAAATCCTGATTAAAGGATCCCCCCCAAAATAACAAACCCTAATCTTGGCAAATCCCGAAACTATACCCTAAACCAAAGTAACTCCAGCCTGGCTGACATCCGTAGGCCAGCAGCGGCCGAAAGGTGGTCGCCAAAGCCAGCGTCACCGCGCCGCCCGGCAGTTGGGATTTGGTGGGGGTTAGGGCTTCATCTTTCGAGTTTAGACCTTACATGGCTAAAAGCCGAAGTTCTAGCCAGGTAATATCCCATAGTCCCTGATAGCCACAACTATGGATGACACTCGTGTTTTTTGAATTGCCTACCTAGTTCAGGTTTAGGATTTAAATTTCAGCTACAGGGTCTGGGGTTTAGGCTCGAGTTTGGAGGCTTAAGCTTCAAGGTTCAAACATTGCGGTGCAGGGCTAACGGTTCCGGGCCTCAGGTTTAGATTTTGGCGTTTTGGTCTCGGGTTTTAGGATATGCAAGGTTAAGGTTTCAATTCAAGCCTTCAGGCGAAGAGGTTCCAGGGCGGGCTTCACGTGAACTTCGCAGCCCTTGAAACGAACAAATGCTGCTTGGGGGTGGTAAAGTATTTTGATGTAGAGGTCTGCAATGATGATATAGTCCGGTATGCCCTTGCAGGGGATTCTATGGAGACTACTCTAGACTCTAGAGATCCTTTCCCTCATTTCTTATTTGAGCTATAGTCTAAAGTCCTTCCAGAGAGGTTACATAGGGGATTGTTATGGGTGTGAAAATGGGGTTGTAGGAGTTTAGACTACGACTCATTTAAATACAACTTTCATCCAAACAGGTTTCGTTGAACCTGACACGCGCGACTACACTCCTTTGACCCTTTGACCGAGTTGCTGCTAAGGAACTTGAAGTTATAGTTTCCGTCAATCGGGGAACCCAAATATAGACCCCAAATATTACAAGCCGTATTATAGGGACCCCCAAAAAAGGTATCCCTAATTTTGGGAAGCCCTCAACCCTATATAAACCCTGCATAACCCCTATCTAGCCCTTATATAACCCCTGTTATCCCCTTTAAACGGTACCCTAAACCCTAAACCCTAAAGGTACCCTAAACCCTAAACCCTCAGTAAGTTGCCATATTCTGGATACAGTGCTCGTTTTCATAGTCATCCTTCCGCCTGTCCTGGCATCGCATGCCTACGCGTTTAGGGTTTAAGGGTTTTGGGTTTAGGAGTTTAGGAGTTCGGGGTGCAGGATTTAGGGTTTGGGTTTAGGGCTTTTTCAACAGAACCTTGAATCAGGACCCCATACTCCCCATTTCATCCCATGTATAAACGCCCCATGTAGATTTCCCTACGCTCACAGCAATCTGCACGAGTCATGTGCTCTGGTCAGGGGTGATGCGGGAGTTTCTTCAAGGTATTGTCAGGACCTTATCGTCCCCCTTAAGTAGATAGAATATGGGGCATATGGGGATTTTATATGATATACCCAAAGCCATATTCTGTCTACTTAAGGGGGACCCTAGTGCTTCGTCCTGGTATTTTGGGCAGGCGATAGGGACCCAGAGGCCCTGGCCCTGAACGCTACAGTCATGTGTTCACCTATTGCTTCCCCCTATACTATACCCTCACGCCGTACGTAGAGGGTCCAAGTACCTAACTATAAAATACTAGAATCTGACCCCAAACCCCGATATTCGGGTACTTGGACCTCTCACCCCCTAGGTTCCCCCATGCTCCCCTAAATCCGTCCTCGGAGTCCTAACATCTCAAGGCTTAGAGCCTTCGAGACCGAGCTGGGAGTTCAGCCTCCAGCTACTTGGAGCTTTGGGCTAGGTAGGGGAAGACTAAGTGGGGGGTTCCCAAAATTAGGGTTACCATTTTAGGGGTCCCATAAAAAAGGTTCTAATATTTTGGGATTGGGGCTCCCCCTATTTAGGGAAACTACCAAGTAGATACCAGGTGATATTTTTTAGTCCCTTATACTGTTATGAAGAACACCGACTTCTGTTTCGTATGTTCTTACCTAGGACCTAGGTTTTGGGCGCTGGTAACCTGCAGTTTTGAGCTTGGGGGCTTAGGCTGCTTGGGTTTGGGAGTGACGTCTTCTGGGCGGGGTGTAAGGTCTTTGGGTCTGAGTGTTTTGGGCAGCCCCTCCTTAACTCTAAACCCTAAACGGGCTTGTGATGACGGTCGTCCCCGATATCCAGACCATCCTTGCCATTCTGTTCCAAGTGGGTCACTGGTTCAGATTGTGATGCAGTGATGGACGTTTTGCTTGATTTTAGGATTTAGGATTTATCGTTTCGGGTTGTTGTGCCCGGCACTTTGACCCTTCTGCGGAGCATCAGCCTTGCATCCCAATCGTGTAAGACTTCCGGCATCCGTAGCAGCTATGTTCGACCATGAGGATGATTTCGTGACTGCATGCTTGCAGAGATCTGCGGGTTTAAGCTATAATATACTATACAAAATACTACATAGGGTTTAGGGTCGCAGGTACCTCTCAACATGATCCCCATTGACGGCTTCAGAATGCCAGAATCATTTTCTAACGTCCGCCAGGCATCCTTAGAGTCCCTCGAGGTGCCCTATAGTAGGAAAAGGCCTGACATCAGAAAAAACATGGCTACAGCCTAAACCTTCATAGAACCCCTATATAGCCCCTATATAACCCCATATAGGTTGGGGTAGTAAATATTTCCATCCTAAACCCTAAACCTTAAACCCCTAAACCCTAGACCCCTAAAACCCTAAATCCTAAACCCAAAACCCTTAAATCCTAAACCCTAAACCCTAAGACCCTAAACCCTAAGCCCTAAACCGACTGAAGGTCGGCTTTTGGGACCCTCTTGGCCTCGCTAGGGATGGCGATGTGGAGGCCTGCAGGAGTTGAAATTCTTAGGGCTCAGGGATGTGTAGGCTAAGGTTTAGGGTTTAGGGTTTACGCAATTTAAGGTAAAGGGTTTAAGAATGTGTAAGTCATAGGGCTGAGGGATGTTTAGGGTTGAGGTTGGGTCATTCCCCCTTACAGTAACTGTCCCTAAGGGGGCTTTATAGTGTGGTTATTAGAACCCCTATTATCTGTTGTGATAACAGTTTGTAAGGGGGAATAACCTAAGGTTGAGGTAACAAGCAATTTAAAGTAAAGGGTGTAAGTATGTGTAAGTCATAGATGATTAGCTTTTTTAGCGCGTTTTAAGCATTTTTCTAGGACCCTATACCCTGAAACCCTAAACCCCCAAACCCTAAACCCCTAAACCCTAAACCCCTAAACCCCTCATTCCTAAACCCTAAACCCTTCGCCTTCCTGGCTGCTTATGGAGCAGGCATCCCCAGCTAGGGTTTAGGGTTTAGGGTATAGGGGTTTAGGGATTTAGGGTTTAAGGTTTAGGGTTGGGGGTCTTGGTCTTTGAAGAGCCCCTTGGCGAGGGTGAAAGGGTTTAGGGTTTTGTTTTGGGGGTATAAAATGGGGGTTGTGTA